TTTCCTACCATACAGCCGATTTCCCCACAGACAGAACCTTGCAAACCTCTTGCGATTGTGTCCGATTCTTTTCTTCGATCAGTTCAGGCAATTACAGCTTGGATACTGCATGCTACTTCCACAGAGTCGAATCATCCTCTCTTTCTCAGTTTTCGGGAGATAAGTAGAAAGTTCCACACAGAGACTTTTCTTTTCCCAAGAACTGTTACATTGTGGAATAGATTCCCGCGTGGATGCTTTCCTGAACACTAAAATGTTAATATCTTCAAGTCAAGCATCAATCGTTATCTAACCTCTTCGTTTTTTAATCTTCACTTAGTAGTGCTTCCATTCATATTACATTTTCAGTAACCCTCAATCGTAAGTAGCTTTCAAGTATTGTACTGGGTGACCTTTAATAAAACAAACAAACAAACCAAAAAAAAAAAGTGATCGATTCTGCTCGTCATTCGATAAATACCTTCCAGGGAATTTGCGAAACCGAATATTTATTGTGTTTCTGGTTAAATTCTCAAGTCTACATCAACACTATAATTTTAACGTCTCCGCCTAAACTCTGAGATTTTATTTAGTATTTATTTTTTTTCTTCTTCCGTAGTAGCTTTGTTCACCTCTCAACGACATTACAATCCTCCTTGGACTTTTTGAAAAGTAGAGGTTTATTCTTTGTTTAATGTTTAGAATTGGTTTTCCAGATCCTTTTGAAGTCTACTTCTACTCTAGAATTCTAACATCTTCGCATAAACTCTGAAATTTTATTTGCTATTTATTTTTTTCTTCAGTAGGAGTAGTGATGTGGGGCCAAAGTTGGGACTACAGAAGTAAAACACGGAACACGGATTAGATGTAAGAAAGATATATTAACAACAGGTTACAGAGATAGTGTAAGCGGAGCTTACTATAACACTCTCTGTCACCCTCTAGAGTGCTATGTCGCCTACTTAATATAGGCCTGGAAGAGTCTATTGTGTAGGTAGTTTCCGGTCTCACAATAAGTAGACAAGTTCAACTCTCGTTCAGTTCACAATCCCCACCTGTCTTTTAAAGGATAGTAGAGGAGTATCCCTCGTTTCCGGTTTAGTATTGGGTTTCCAGTTACTTTTAAATCTACTTCAACTCCTAAACTTCTAACGCCTCTGCCTAAATTCTGATTTAAATATCTGATGATATTTCCTATATATTTATTTTTTTCTTCAGTAGGAGTAGATTTGTTCACCTCTCGTCCGGATCACAATCCTTTTTGGATTTTTCGAAAATTAGTTTCCTATTCAGGATTGGTTTTCCAGATCCTTTTGAAGTCTACTTCAACTCTATACTTCTAAACGTCTCTGCCGAAACTCTGAAATTTTATTTCCTATTTATTTTTCCTCAATAGGTGTAAATATGCTCGTCTATAATCCGGTTGACACTCCTCCCTGGTCTTTTGAACAGGAGTAGAGGTTTATTCTATTTAGGACTGGGTTTCCGGTTCTATCTAAAGTCGTTTCATTCTCTTTCAATCTCTGTAGCGCATTGCGTTTTAGTTGCATTATCGCCTTGTTTAGGTTGAAGTGATTAAAAAAAATTATGGAACCTATTTTTGGAGAAAGATTTTACATAAAACGAAAAAAAAAGATTGGTATCAACTCAGAATATGCTGCAGAGATATCAATATATATCACATGACAACAGATATTCCTGATGATAATTGACCGAAACGTTATGTCTGCAACAACATATATAACAAACTAAACGAGAACAGCAGTTTGCAATAAGTGAAGTATACAAAACAAAAACTTAACGAGAATTTATCCGAATCAACACGTATTCAATGATTTCTGCTATGTCTTGTAAAGATAAACTTTATTTTTTAAACGTATCTTTTTTCGGGATTATAGGATGTATTATACGACGCCGTGTGAACCAGGGTTATCACAAAGTATCAGTCACAATCCTTGCAAAGGAAAAGGTAATTCATTTTTGCAGTGCGTAATTCAAACGAGCCGATTACTCACATTACGTGTACAGTAATATATTGTCCAATCCTCACCAATTCGTAATAATGACTTCAGTTGAATTCCATCAAAGATAGATAAGAATTGTCTATATTTATCTTATGTTGATAAATATCAGCAGATAATATCAAAATAATACTAGCAACTATTAGCGATATATATCTGTCTCTTCTAATATATATATATATATATATATATATATATATATATATATATATATATATATATATATATAATATTTGCAAAATCAAACGAACAGTTATGAGAAACCGTATACGCGCATTTTGGCGTGCATAAACAGGCAAGCAAATAAATAATCATCAAATATGTTCATGAGGTGTAAACATAACATTGATCGATGTCGTTATACAAAGTAAAGATATGTGGAATCTGTGTATTTTTTTTATAAAAACATAATGTCATGGGTCCTTACCTATAACTACAGAATGAACTCTTCCTAACACTATGTATACTACGCCTCTCAAGAGGGAGGGTCGAATCGAGTC